GGTTTAAGGGTGAACGGGGTGAAGGGGAGGGGGATGGAGTGGGAGGGTGTGCAGTGCGGGACTGGGTTTAAGGTGACGGGGGGTGACGGGATGGGGGAAGGAGGGGGTGGGGACGGGGTGACAGGGTGGGGAAGGGGGGTGTGGGGGGATGAAGGGGGAGGGGTGTATAGGGGGGGTTGTAGTATGTGAGGGAGAGGTTGGTGGGTTGGTGAGGGGTGAGGGAGAAGGGGGTTAGGGGGAGGGTTAGGGGTGAAGGGGTGGGGGGGTTGGGTCAGTGCGGACCGGGAGGGTGAGGGGGTGACGGTGGGGAGTGGGAGGGGGGTGAAGGGGAGGGGATGGCAGTGGCGGGTGTGCAGTGCGACTGGGTTTAAAGGGTGACGGGGTGACGGGGTGGGGAGGGGAGGGGTGGGGGAGAAGGGCCGGGTGAGAGGGTGAGGAGGGGGTTGTAGTTGGGTGAGTGGGGTTGGGTGGAGGGTGTTGGGTGTAGGGAGGGGGGTGGGCGTGAAGGGGGAGTGGGGTTAGGGGGTTGGGTGGAGGGTGAGGAGGTGAGGGGGGGTTGGTGTGGAGGGTTGAAGGGTGAGAGGATGAGGGAGGGTGGAGTGGGTTGGGGGGGTGAGAGGGGGTTTGAGGTTGGGTGGAGGGTGTGAGGGAGACGGGGTGGGGGTGGAGGATGAGGAGGGGTTGAGGTTGGTGGAGGTGAGGAGGGATGGGGGTGGAGGGTAAGTGGGGGGGTGGTGGAGGGTGAGGAGGGTGAGGGGGGTTAGGTGGAGGTGAAGAGGGGAGGGAGATGGGGGGGTTGGGGGTTGGGTGGGAGGGTTAGTGGGAGGGGGGTTGAGGGTGAAGGGTGAGAGGTAGGGTGGAGGGTGAGAGGATGCGGGGGGTAGAGGTTTTAGGGGGGGTTGGAGGGTGAGTGGGAGGGGGGGGAGGTTGGGGTTGGGTGAATGGGAGGGGGGTGGATGTATGGGTGGAGGGTGAAGTGTGGTGCTAGGGGTTGGATGGAGAGTGAGTGGTGGGGGGAGGGGTGAGTGGAGGGCGTCGGATGGAGGGTGAGTGGGGGGGGGGTGGAGGTTGACGTAAGATTTTTACCGGAAGGATGTAATGGTTTTTAACGTCGATGGCAATATTATCGTTAATATGGGTGTCATAGATAATTTTCTTATTCTTTTTCTTTTTTTTCGTCATATCATTGAGTATTAGTAATAGCGACAGGAATGAATATTAGTTTAATTGTTATCATTCCCACACGCGTCCATACTAGCACATACATACAAAAAACACACACACACACACGTACACACGCACACGCGCGCGCATGCATACACACACGTTTTATGCATACATACGGAAATACTGCTGTTACTCTTGTCAATATTATTATTGTTATATTATTATTATTATTCCATCATCATTTTATATCATTATTACTATTATTATATAATTACTATCCATTATTACCATTATTGTTATTGTTATCAGTGTTGGACTGGGTATTCATGCATATGATCATTATTATTATCATTATCATTCATTCATTATTATTATCATCATTGTTATAACTGTTATTGTTTATCAATTTATTGTCATCATTATTATTATCATTGGTTATTATTGCTGTTATCATCATTAATTATCATTATCATTATTATTGTTATTGTTATCATTATTATTATATTACTATCATTTTTATCGTTGTTATTATCATCACTATCATTTCCTATCATTATTAGGATTTTCATTATTATTATTATCATTATCATCATAACTATCATCATTATTATTATCATGATATGTTGTTATCACAATTAAAAATAATAATTATTGTTATTATCATTTTCATTACCATTATCATAGTTATTATCATTTTTCATTAATCGCCATCATTATTATCATGATTATTATTATTATCATCATTATTAATTTTATCATTATTATTATCATTGTCATGATTATTATCATTGTTATCATTGTATTACTATCATTATCATTATTATTATTTTATTATTATTATTATTATTATTATTATTATTATTATTATTATATTATTATTATTATTATTATTATTATTAATTATTATTACTATTATTTATTATTATTATGTTATCATTATTTGTGTTATTATCATTATCATTATTGTTGTTTGTTTTATTATCATCCTCATAATTATTCATTACTTATTTCTATTATTATTACATATATCATTACTATCATTAATCGTTATGATCATTATAGTTATTATGATAATATAATATATGATGATGATGATAATGATGAAGAGGAAAGAGAAGAGAGAGGAGAAAGACAGCGAGAGAGAGAGAGAGAGGAGGAGAGAGAGAGGAGGGAGAGAGGAGAGAGAGAGAGAGAAGAGAGAGGAGAGAGGAAGAGAGGAGAGAGAGAGGAGAGAGAGAGGAGAGAGAGAGAGAGAGAGAGAGGAGAGAGAGAGAGACAGAGTGGAGGATGAGGAGAGAAGAGGAGGAGAGAGAGAGAAGAGAGAGGAGAGAGGAGAGAGAGAGAGAGAGAGAGAGGAGAGAGAGAGAAGAGAGAGAGAGAGAGAGAGAGAGAGAGAGAGAAGAGAGAGAGAGAAGAGAGAGAGAAGAGAGAGAGAGAGGAGAGAGAGAGAGAGAGAGAGAGAGAGAGAGAGAGAGAGAGAGAGAGAGAGAGAGAGAGAGATAATATGTCAAATGGATAAATACTTGTAAATATACACACAACCCACTCTAAGATGCTGTCTCATAATCTCAAAAAATAGATATTTGAAAGTTAACATTAACGTATATTTTGATAGATTTAATAACACTTTCCCCTAATATTTTGCTTTCAAAATGATGCAGCATTTTTTCCTGCAGACATCGAAACCCCTAAAAGAAGTTGTATTACAAGTATCATAAACATTCAAGTTAATTTTGTTATTGTTGTCCTTATCTTTGTAAATGATAATCATTCTTATCATGATGTCTGCTGTTGATATTATTATTGTCATTATTTTGATTTCAGTCCACAATATTTTAGCCAAATTGCAAGTATCATAAACATTTAAATTGATTTTTGTTATTGTTGTTATCTTTGCAAATGATAATCATTCTTATCATGATGACTGTTGTTGATATTATCAGTATCATTATTTTTATTTCAGTCCACAATATTTTGCCAAATTACAAAAGGTGTGTGCAAAAAGTAGTGATAAAGGAATATAACAAAGATAAAGATAGGTGAACAGCAAAAAAGATTAAAGAACAGTGCATTAAAAAGTAATGTTTAAAACTAATGACGATAGTACTTGAGATAAAGATATTAGAGATAAATTTTTACGACTGTGAAACCTGATAATATGAGTGTTGATGGGACGACCCGTATCAATAAAGATAAGAACACTGATAGTTAAAATGTCGAACACGATAAGGCTAATTAAAGCTACTGAAAGTGTTGGAGTCAAGAACCCCAGAACCCCTACCTCCCCTCCCCCACCACCGACCCCAACCCCACACACCCATCAAAAAAAAAAAAAAAAAAAAAAAAAAAAAAAAAAAAAAATCGCACCCAGCCTCCCTGATAACGCCCCCTATCGATCACCTTTTGTACGCTCTCTCTCTCTCCTCTCTCTCTATCTATCTATCTTTCTCTCTTCTCTCTCTCTTCTCTCTCTACTACCCCCCTCCTCCTCCTCTCTCTCTCTCTCTCTCTCTCTCTCTCTCTCTCTCTCTCTCTCTCTCTCTCTCTCTCTCTCTCTCTCTCTCTCTCTCTCCTCTCTCTCTCCTCTCTTCCTCTCTCTCCTCTCTCTCCCTCTCTCTCTCTCTCTCTCTCTCTTCTCCTCTCTCTCTACCCCTCCTCACTCTCTCTCTTCTCTCTCTCTCTCCCCCCCTCTCTCTCCTCTACCTCCCCCCTCTCTCTCTCTCTCTACCCCTCTCTCTCTCCTTCTCTCTCTCACCTCCCCCTCCCTCTCCTCTCTCCTCTCTACCTCCCCCCCTCTCTCTCTCTCTCTCTCTACCCCCCCCTCTCTTCTCTCTCCTTTCTCTCTCTCTCTCATCTCCATCGTTAGTCTCCCAGTTGCTACCCATCTCTTATCAGTAAACCGGCGATGCTTGGCCACAAATTTAAGCTCAGGGAGGCTTCAACTATTCAATACACGCCAGGGTCCTGTCTATTATTCTGGCGGAGTTGATGTGCTCGGGGCTGCCGTCCTTCCCCCGGGGGCCTGGGTGGTTGGGTGGGCGGAGGGGGAGGGAGGGGGGGGGGGAGGGGAGGGAGGGAGAGAGGGAGGGAGGGAGAGGAGGGACGAGAGGGAGGGACGGAGAGGGAGGGAGGGAGCGGAGAGGGAGGGAGGGAGGGAGGGAGAGAGGGAGCAGGAGGAGAGGGAGGGAGGAGAGAGAGAGAGAGAGAAGAGAGAGAGAGAAGAGAGAGAGAGAAGAGAGAGAGAGAGATGAGAGAGGCAGACATGCAGAGGCAGAGAGAAAATAAAAATGATATATATATATATGTATATATATATAGAGAAAGATAGATAGGATATGACATACATATTATATATATATATATATATTATATTATATATATATATATATATATATATATATATATAGAGAGAGAGAGGAGAGGAGAGAGAGAGAGAGAGGAGAGAGAGAGAGAAGAGAGAGAGAGAGAGAGAGAGAGAGAGAGAGAGAGAGACAGACAGGACAGGACGGAGAAGACAAAGAGAAAATAAAACAACAGATAGAAAGAGAGAAAAGAAAGAAAGAGAGAGATGAAGAGGAAGAGAAAGAAGAGAAAGAAAGACAGAGAGAAAAGAAAGAAACACATAGACAGAGAAATAAAGGACAGAAAGAGATAGATGTGAGAAGACCATAATCGGGCAATTTTTTTCCCAAGAGTCTATAAATATCTTTCACCGGATCAAGTTCATAGAGCTGTCAAAATAACCCTTTTTTCTAGTGGTCAGTGTCACCTCAGGATCATCTATCCTTCGCCATCCTTCCGAACTATCCTTGCACTTTAATTCCCTCCTTCAGGATCCACAGACCGGCTATTAATCTCATATTCGTCGTCATATCAGCTGATCTGCCGCCTCATCTCTCGACTCGACTATGAGGATTTGAGTTTTTGCCTTATCTTCTGCCTTATCTTCCCCCTTCGTATCAGTTCTTCTGAGGCGGGCGCTGTCTCCTTCATCTGCTTCTTGAAGATGGTTGAGTTCTTGTTCGTCAAGTCTTAGAGGACCTACTATCTTTTTTTTTTTTTTTTTATTCTAGGGTGGGGGGTGGGGGGAGGGTGTGAGGGGACGGGGAGGAGGGGGGGGTGGGGGAAAGAGGTGGGGAGTGGGGGAGGGTGGGAGGGGTGGGAGGGGGGTGTGGGCGGTAGGAGGTGGGGGGAAGGGGAAGGGGGGAGGAGGTGAAGTGTGGGGGGAGGATGGGGGTAGGTGGGGAATGGGTTAGAGGAGGTGAGGGTGGGGAGGATTCTCGCTGGAATCGGACATACGGACGAGGGGGTGGAGGAAGAAAGGGTGGGGAAGGAATGCAGGTGGGCGTGTAGGAAGAGGTCGTGGATGTATAATTTCTTCTACTAATCTACTTCACCTACCAGAAAACCCTCCTCGCCCCCACCTTGGATAAAACGTGGCACTTGCCTTATCCCTCTACATGGCTCTTGTGTTCAACTCCTTTTTCTATATATGTATGATACGACCTACAACAGCCACGAGTAAGAGGTCCCTCGAGGCATCCGCTTCTCCTGATAAGAGAGATAAGGGAGGATGCGCACCGCCCTGGATCCCAGTAGCGGAATCTTGTGTTTTTTAGAGGAAGTCTAGGGATTGTTCTTAAAGGTTTCGGGTTCTCTCTTCTTTTGGTCTTTTCTTTTTTCTGTCCTCTCTCTTATTTCCTTTCTCTGTCCTGTTGTCTGTTTCTCTTCTTTTCTCTGCTATTCTCTCCTCTCTCTCCTTCTCTCTCGCTCGTCTCTCTGTCTCCTCTTCTCTCCTCCATCCCTCCTCCCTTCCTCTCTCTCGCTCCTCTCTCTTTCTTCTTTTTCTCTCTCTCCTATCTACCCATTTCTATCTATTTTTCTCTCTCTCATTTATTGTCTCTTTTTCCTAAATCTACATGATGTTAACTCCAACTCAATTCCAGTCTACCTGGCTGATTATCGCATTTTTTTCTTTGTCCTAGTTATTCCATTTTACACACAGTTCTGTTTACCTTTTTTGTCTCTATGTGTTTCTTTTCTAATTTCCGTTTAATATTCCTATTTATCTTTGTATATCTCTTCCTTCACTCCTTAGACTGGCAATGTTCTCTATTTCTGTCTGGTTGTCTGTTTATCTCTTTCTACAACACACACCACACGCACACACACACACACACACACACACACACAACACACACATATATATAATATATATATATATATATTATCCCTCCCCCTACCTACCACCCTTTTACTTAATCTTTCTCACTCCCTATTTATTTACCTACCTCTTCCTCCCCTCCCCTAATCTGTCTTCTCCCTGCATACCTCGATCTTTCAAGCACTTATCACCCCGACCACATTTCAGACAAGAGGACAGTAAACAGATCAGTCACTCTCTAAAGCACACAAACCTGTTGTCAAGTGTCCAAAGCACTGTCAACCCCCTTGGACTTCCCACGATTTTATAATCAAGAAAATTTCTGAAAGACTTTAAGTGTATCTGCGGGGATTTAGGTCGTGGAAATGTACGTGTTTTATGTGGTATTCGTGGAGGGAAATCCTCTATAGGTAAGGATTATTACGTACCTAGAGGAGGATTTATTTCTGGCTTTGAAAACACGTCCGTATGTTAAGCTTCAGGACTTCCATCAACGCTATAAAAGGCCACAGAAGGACGTTTGATCAGCTGTCAAAAAAAAAAAGAATAAAAAAAAAGAAGAAAAAAAGGAAAATGTGGAAAAAAAACATGTGAATAAAACAAGAATAAATATTTTTCTAGTGGTCGAGTAATACAAAGCTGCGTAACAGGTGGCCCCATGATGACACGGACAAAATTTTGATAAACGCATATATGGAGCCAAAGGTGGGTCGAATCGGCTTCATCTGGATTCCGAACAAGAATTTTCGATTCACTTTACCAGCCGGGCTTCTGGTCATGGTCAGTATCCTGCTTGTTGTTGTTGGTGTTGTTGTTGTCGACGGTGTTTTCATCATGTGGGTCCAAAAAAGAAAAGGAAAAAAAAAAAAGGACGAACCAAAAAAAAAAAAAAAGTAAATTATTTACAATTTGGCTTCTGCGAATGCCCTCGTGTACCCATTCCCCTCCCTTTCCCCCCTCTCCTCCCCCTATCCCCCGCCGCGCCACTCCCCCGAGAATTCTATATCCTGACGAAGAGCGTTAAGCAGTCAACTCGCAAATCTTATATCAGGCCGTCATCTTATCAACTATCGCCGGTGATGAAGGGTGACAGACAGACAGACGGACAGACAGCTATGGCCGACCCGCTCGCACCGCGCAGCCTCGTTCCTAATGAACCACCGTTACGACATCTTGTCTCGTATCTATATGGTCCCCGGGATGATATCTTGGTCAGTCTCTCGAGGAGGAGTCCCTCTTGCCCCTCCTGTTCCAGTTAGTGGAAATGTGGCCGAACCGCGAATAAGATATGCATGTTTGGGCCTTCACACGCGCGCACACTGCGGAGAGAACCCCCTTGTTCCCGCAGCGGAGAACGGGGACAAACGGCTAATGAATCTTGGGTGCGATGTGATACGTTAATTCCCTTCTTATCCGGAGACAGCGCTGGGTCCGGGTTTTCGTCTGAAGTCCGCCGCGGTAAACAGAATTAGGAGGAAACGAGACGGGACTGGGGTTTTGGGGGCTTTCCAATCCGGAGCTGATGTTCCAACTCTGGGTTTTTGGGTTTTTCGGGGGCTGATGTTGAGGACCGGCTTGTTCCAGGGGGTTTTTTGGGGGATGGTTCCAAACCGGGCTGATGTTCACAGGACTGGGTTTTGGGGGCTTCCAAACCGGGGCTGATGTTCCAGGACTGGGTTTTGGGGGCTTCCAAACCGGGGCTGATGTTCCAGGACTGGGTTTTGGGGGCTTCCAAACCGGGGCTGATGTTCCAGGACTGGGTTTTGGGGGGCTTCCAAACCGGGGCTGATGTTCCAGGACTGGGTTTTGGGGCTTCCAAACCGGGGGCTGATGTTCCAGGACTGAGGTTTTGGGGGCTTCAAAACGGGCTGATGTTCCAGGACTGGGTTTTGGGGGCTTCCAAACCGGGGCTGATGTTTCCAGACTGGGGTTTTGGGGGCTTCCAAACCGGGGCTGATGTTCCAGGACTGGGTTTTGGGGGCTTCCAAACCGGGGCTGAGTTAACTTTATACACTCGTATATATATATTATATATTATATATATATATAGATATATATATATATATAATATATATATATATATATATATTTATAATATATATTGCGGTCTCTACGGTGCCTTGCCTTCGTGTTGATTATATACCTTCTGCTTATTTACATTCAGAAGCAATGGAGTAATAAAATGAATATTTGATATCATATATCATTATTAATTCGATTTAATGCTATGTAGGTGCAGTCATTATAAAATAATTTCTGTATTAGGCAAAATATTGAATTCTGTCATAACTGTTCAAGTGAATCACTCACGGGTTTCTCAAGGATGATACTAACACGAGAGCGAACAAAACCCGGCCTTACTATTAGCATATCTCTTCCTTCTCCTTCCTTCATCTCCGTCTCTCTCTCTCTCCGTCTCCGAGATGGATGACTCCTTCTGTCCGCGTATCATCCTTCATCCTTCAGAGATATCCAACAGAGGCTCCCGTATCGACGAGAAACATTTCTCTCATGAAGTAGTTATCACGAGGGTCGGCCGGGAGCTGCTCGCTGACAGGGTCTCGGCGAGGCACAATTAGACTCTCCCGACCTGACAATGGCATCATCCCCCCCCCCCCCCCCCCCCCCCCCACCCCCCCACCCCCCGCCCCCTTCCGTCAATGGCATCCGTTATCGAGGCTGAGACTTCGTTTCCTGAGGCTCCTGACTCGAACAAGCGAGTTTTAGCTTCAGTACCGACCGGCCATCAGCTGATTCGTTGAAGTACAGTGTTTCTCCGAAGTGTGAACGAACAGAAGCGAGCGAAATCGAGAATGTTAAATTATTCATGAATGAAATTGTGATTGTGACGAGGAGAGAAGGAAGGCAGATAGAAAAAGGACCAATAAGAGAGAGAGAGAGAGAGAGAGAGAGACAGAGAGAGAGAGAGAGAGAGAGAGAGAGAGAGAGAGGAGAGAGAGACAAGAGAGAGAGGGAGAGAGAGAGAGAGAAGAGAGAGAGAGAGAGAGAGAGAGAGAGAGAGAGAGAGAGAGAGAGAGAGAGAGAAGAGAGAGAGAGAGAGAGAGAGAGAGAGAGAGAGAGAGAGAGAGAGAGAGAGAGAGAGAGACAGAGAGAGAGAGAGAGACAGAGAGAGATAAACAGACAGACAGACAGACAGACAGAGAGAAAGAGAGAAAGAAAGAGAAATAAAGGACGAAAAAAGAAAAAAAAATCAGCCACTGTCACACCGTCATCGCCGCGTGAATGAGATGAATAAATCGGAACATTTGGTCGATCTGTCAACACATCTCTCCTTATCCAGGTGATGCGCTGATTTGATATACACCTGATAACGCCAGCTTCCATTTTTCACCCGACGCCCTTGACCTGAATCGTGAATCAAAGAACAGTTCTGGTCTCAGCTCCTCACGCCTCTGAACAGGACGAAGAACAGTGAACAGTGAAACACATTGAAGAACAGTGAACAATGCGAAGAACAGTGAACAGTGAACACAATTCTCGAAGAACAGTGAACAGTGAACACAATTCTCGAAGAACAGTGAACAGTGAACACAATTCTCGAAGAACAGTGAACACTGAACAAAATTCTCGAAGAACAGTGAACAGTGAACACAATTCTTAGTTTCTCTATTCTTTGTATGATTTATATTATTAAATCATGTTCTTAGAATAACTGACAAACTAACCGATCAAATTCACTAACCTTTATTATTCTTATTTTTGTCTGATAAAGATTAGAGGAAATCTTGAAGATGCAAAAAATATCACATGATGATAAAGACTCCATTTTCGACTTAAAAATCAGAATTATGAAACTGAAGTTAATAGATGAATATTGTCAGTATTAACAAATGGTAATAGTAATACTGATG